ATCCAAACTGCAGTTAGGATCAGCTATAAGCAATGATCCAGTATCTTCTGTGTGGCAGACATGGTTCCAAGCATCTTCTAATAGCTTGGATCCCTATGAAACTGTCATCGCCTCATAATTATACAAGGAAGGCTCAGAGACCTTAGTGGCTTGTTCAAATCACACAGAGATTGGCAGACCCACCATTTTCATTCTTCAGACACCTCAAGGACAAACACCTCCATCATTTTCCATTTGCCTATAGGACAGAAGCCAAATTCCTCCCTGGCAGGCAAGGTGCCATATTATCTTTCCAGCCTTATCTCCCACTGGCTCTAGCTTGATTCCACTGTTCCAGACTGGCATGTCTGTGCCCTCTCCCCCAGCCCACAACTTACTCCCAGAGCCCCGCCATCTAGCCCTGGTTCCCACGACCTAGAATATCTTTTTTTTTTTTTTTTACCTTTGTGCCTACTCAAGTCCTGTTCAGCCTTCCCTCTCACACAGGGTTCTCCTTCACAAAATGCCCCAAGCCCCAGGAATCTCACTTCCCCTTTAATGCCTCCTGCTCAGACCAGCCCCAGGTACCAGATCATTTGTTAAGGTCAACTGACTCGCAAGGCCAGGCTCCACACATGGCAGACCCTTTAGCTGAATATTTTGTCTTTCTTTGTATATATAGTTAGAAGCATCACAGAGAATTTTCCCTGTGAGCTGTTGTACCAAGAACTGGGGCAAAAACTTTGTGTGGACACAGTGCAAACTAGATGAAATTTATCATTGGTGTTTTCTAATACAGCTTCCCTTCCTCCCAAGTTATTATAGTAAGTGAAGGTTATATCCATGTGCTTTTTCACTACTCTTTTAAAATTTCAAATATGTGAATGATAATAGTAATGGCATACATATTACTGTGTGCTACATGCTTTTCTAAGCACATTGTGAGTTTTAACTTAGTTAAGCCTAAAAATCCTTTGAGGTAGTTCTTAGTATTAATCTCCTTTTACAGATGAGCTGACTGAGTCACAGAGTGGTTAAGAAACTTGCCTAGTATCACATAGTTGGTATTCAAAGCCAAACATTTAATATGATGCTATACTGCCTCACCAAGAAAATAATGTATTGTTTCTGATGGTGACAGTAATGCCTGTTTTTAAAAAATCAGATAATAAACAAAGTAGATGTATTACAGAACTGTGATAACTGGAAAGCAAAACATATAATAATTCATTGTGAGACCAGCTTGGGTTCCAAAGTCTAATGCTAAGAATGCTGGTGATCTGGGGTTGACCACAGGGCTGACAGAGTCTGCAAGGCCCAAGCTCAGATGTCATTTCTTATCACCTGGCTACAAGGGAAGAGACAGGAGGGAGGACACCAGAACATGGGTCTGTTCTCAAAGAAACACACAAAGTGTAAGGAGACTATCACCCATAGTCCTATAACTCATGGAGAATTAAATAAACTACTAAAGCAGATATTAATACACATTGGGTCCTATTGCAGAAATGGAACCATATTGTACGTCCTGAGTTTTTTTTTTTTTAGTTAAAATTTTAAATAGCTTCATTGAAGTATAATATATAAACCATAAAATTCTCTTGTTTTAACCATACAACTATTTTAGTAAATTTACAGGGTTTTGCAACCATTATCATGATCCAATTTTAGATCATTGTATCACCCTCCCAAAGATTCCTTATGCACATTGGTACTTACTCTCCATTCCCACTCCAGCTTTGGAACTGCTGCTCTTTCTGTATTGATTTGCCTATTCTGGACAGTTTGTATAACTGGGGACATACAAAAGAATTTGGGTTCTTTTATTTATCATAATGTTCTCAAGGTTCATCCTTACTGTAGCATGTGTCAGTACACACCATCCTTTTTGATGACTGAATGATATTCCGTTGTGTGAATATACCAGTGTTTTATTCAGTCACCTGTTAGTGGACATTTGGATTGTTTCAAATGAATAATGCTGCTATGATATTCACATACAAGTCTTTGTATGGACATGTTTTCATTTCTCTGTGGTAAGATATTTAGGAATGAAACTGTTGGGTCTTTTGGTAAAATTTTCCAAAATTATTGTGCCATTTTGCATTCCTACTAGCCATACATGAGAATTCTAGTTTCTCTACATCCTAGCCAATATTTGCTACTGTCTATGTTTTTGATTATAGCCATCCTAGTGGGTATGACGTGATATCTCATTGTTTTGATTTGCATTTTCCTAACGACTAATGATATCATACATCTTTCCATGTGCTTATTGGTCATTCAAATATTTTCTTTGGTGAAATATCCATTCAAAAATTTTCCCATTCTTCAGTTGGTTTATCTTTTTATTATTATATCACAAAAGTTCTTTATGTATTCTAGGTACAAGTCATTCATCAGATATGTCCTATATTTTCACTTTCTTAATGATATCTTTAGAAGCACAAAGGTTTTGAATTTTGATGAAGACAATTTATCAATTTTTTTCTTTCATTGCTTGTGCTTTTGGCATCATATCTAAGAAGTCTTTGCCTAACCCTGCCATGTTTTAGAATTGAACTCCCTTCTTCCTCCCACTTATCAGTATGCCCTGGACGTCTTTCTACCTCAGTAAATCTGCACCTCAGTAAATCTGCAGATCGCTACAGATCTGCACCATTATACTTCCAGAGTTTTGTTTTGGAAAGAAGAGAGGGAAGAAAGGAGACAACAGGGCCAAACTATTCAAAATATTCAGGACAACTCTGTTCATCCTTGAGGTCTTCCCATTTTCCTTTTGTATTGTCTTGTGTCTGGTACCTTCTCTGTGGTTTGTGAATAGAAACTTTATTAGGTTATTAACTTCATCACAACATTTTATGTTTAATATCTTGGTCACACAGTTTCCTAGCCCCAAATTTCCTGTAGGAGGCTTAAGTCCCTCCACCACAGACTCTAGTGAGGGGATGCTCGTAAGAAACATGTGAGAAAAAAAAAAAAAGAAACATGTGTTCGCCTGTAATTTGGGATTTGACAGCTGCTGCTTCTGGCATTGACTTCATCCTCTGGAACTGGACTTGGCCTTGAGAGTGATGCAGCTTTGGGTAATGTATTAAAATGGAAATATGGAAAAAGAAAAGTAAATAGTAGATAACAGTAATTGGTATGTGTGTTTTAATGAAAGTCTGATGGATATTCCTGAACAAAATAGTGGTTATCATTTAACAAGCTCCAGATTGAGACGAATGGTTGCATCCTGGCCCCTGTCCTAAGTAAAGTTTTGCTGGCTTGATGGGTAGGATATGAGGTATCGTGTAAAGCTAGATGCTTCTTTAGGAAATAATTTTCAGAGTGAGGAAACTAATGGAGAAAATCCAGGCTGAGGGAAAGAGCCTGTGAGAGGGGCCTCAGAATAAGAATGGGAAAGGCAGTCTAGATTTCAGAGCTCAGGGCTGAAAATGCTAATCTGCTAAAAAGTGAAAGTTGCTTAGTCGAGTCCAATGCCTTGCGACCCCATGGACTATATAGTCCATGGAATTCTCCAGGACAGAATACTGGAGTGGGTAGCCTTTCCCTTCTCCAGAGGACCTTCCCAACCCAGGGATCAAACCCAAGTCTCCCACATTGCAGGCAGATTCTTGCAGCTGAGCCACAAGGGAAGTCCAAGAATACTGGAGTGGGTAACCTATCCCTTCTCCAGGGGATCTTCCCGACCCAGGAATCTAACAGGGGTCTCCTGCATTATAGGCAGATTCCTTACCAACTGAGCTATCAGGGAAGCCTCATCTGCTAAAAGAGAGGGGCAATAGACAAACATCTTGATGAGAAGTCAAGTGGGATGGCAGGATCCTTTGGGGACCTAACTCCTCCTGTCAGGGCCGAGAATTTGGAACTAGAGTGCCAACACTGGGGAGAAGCAAGTCAAGCCGGGGAGAGACAGAAGGGCAGCCCCCAACCCCCGACTGGACAATGGCCATCCCAAGGTGAGAGACACGGCATTGAACAAAAAGAATGCCTAAAAATCAACGAAAAGCTCCTCTAAGCGGACGGGTAAACTACTCAATATATGAGGCTGAAAAATGCAGAGGGAGATCTTTCAAAGTCCTTTAAGATGCAGCCTCGGGTCCTTAGCTTCTTTTTTTTCATGTGGAAAACACAAAACCATTTCAGGAGCCAACTGCTGTGTGCATGGAATATGGAATATACTGGAAGACTAAGAAACAGTGAGACCAGCTAGATGCTACTGCAGAGATTCAGATATGAGGAGGGCTGGCTTGAGAGGGACACTTGTGTGTGCAGGAAGAATGGGTTGGATTTGCTATGCAAGTGCAGAGAGAAGACAAGAATGGTGGGGAGTGGCAGTGAGGGGAAGGCTGTAAGAGGATTTGGGTTTTTTGGAGGTATAATTAAAATGCACAGATCTTAAGTGTGGAATGAATTTTGATAAATGTGTTCATCTCTGTCCCTCGCAACTCCAACAGAGGTTATTAAAAGACCGAATTTCCAGTGCTTGCAGATCCTAAGTGAAGCTGCTTCAAAGGCAAGAAGCTGTAAGCCGCTGAAGAGAAAAGTAAGGACTAGAACTCTAGATTTGAAAGTCATATGCAGCCAGCAGGTGGAAATCTCTTGAGCAAGTGAACGCGGGTGCAGGAAGATGCAACTGGAGAACAGGTCCGATCTGGGGTGCGCATGGACCCACTCTCCCACCGTGGGTCTTATTTGCTGATATAAGGGCAGAGGCTTCTCTTTGTTCAGGCCTTCAGCCTCAGACTTATCTTAAATGAGGAAGAAACTGCTTTCTGAGCTGGCCTCTGCCAAAGTCGGTCCTACGGAACTTGCAGAAGGGCGTCACTGGGGGGAAGGGAGCGGGAGGATTCCAGAGCGGGGTCTGCACCTCCTCCCATCAGCCTGCACAGCTACCTTGCTGAGCTGGAGCGCAGCTCCCTCGTGCAGCGTGTTCTGGCAGCTGGCCTGGGCGCCCCGGGGAGCGCCTCTGCTCCACGCGTGCGCTCACAGCAGCCCTCCAGCAGTGCCCTCGGTGTTTGCAGCCTCTGCAAGCTTGCACGCAGAGGGAACACAGGGGCGAGAATTGGGGGCTGGGTGGGCGTGACGGCGCTCCTTAGCGCTCTCTCCCGCCCAGGCAGTCCCGGGAACGTTCTGAAAAGTATCCAAAAGTTCTGTGCCGCGCGCGCCCGAGCGCGTAAAAAGAGGGCACAACCCCCCACCTCTCTGGGCGTTGCGAGTCCAGACCTCGCCAGTCCAGCTGCACCTCCCGCTGCAGAACGTACGCGTCCTACGCCGCCTCCTCGCCAGCCTCGCCGTCGGCCGGGTGCCCCGCTTGCAGCTACCAGAGAGTCTGCGCTACTCCTTGGGGCACCATGCCCAACGATGATGGCGCACCGTCGGAGGCCCCACACACCCCGGGGGCACCACCGCAGGGCAAGCCCGGGGGCTTCGGCAGAGCGGCCGGGGCGCCGCCCGGAAGCGCTGGCGGCGGCGGCGGCGGCGGCGGCCCGGGCTCGGGCTGTCGGGGAAGCTGCTGAGCTGTGATGGTGATGACGAGGTGAAAATGGCGGATCTTTCGAAATACAATCCCGGCCCCTGACATACCAGAGGCGGNGTGTTGGACGGTGCCTTCTCAGGGTGCTGGGTTCGGGGGAAGCAGAGATCCGGCCGGCCGCAGCTTCTGCGGATAAAGCGTTGCGGCGGGAGACTGCTTTTCTGGAAAAGTCTCTCTAACGGACGCCGGCGCGGCGTGGTCCTGGCTATGCTCTTGGCGCTCTTTTTCGTATTCGCCGCGGCGCATCCTGGCTCAGCCATTTTGAGCACTAGGGAAATTTCATTTGCGCTTTCAAGTTTGCTGTCTCGCCCGAAGATATTCAAGTACAGGTTACTTTGAGTATGTTTTAAAACACACTTAAGAATTTTAAACATCCACGGAGAGGAGAAAATGCAAGCATTTGAGGTTTTGTCTGCTGTTCCTGGTGTGTGGGGTTTTTTTAAAGCGTCCCAAGCAGGGCAGTACTTTTGTACCGTAACAGAAATAAAGTCTTTGGTATCCTAAAAGAATTTTTAGAAGAGAATAATACAAATTCTTTCCAGTTAAAAGTTGTTCCATCCTTTTAAAACAGGTTATTTACAATGAAATATTACAAAGAAATGTTTACTAACGACGTGCTCCTTTTGGTTAGGAACGGGTAAATATCCTCCACTGAAAATGATACCAGTAGCAGCCTTGAACAGGACTTCACATTCTTAGAGATTATACTTTTTATATACGCCCATTTAAAAAAAAGTTTAAAAATAGTTAGATTCGGTCTTCACAGACTGTGAGGGTAGTCATGGAAATACAGGTTGTTTTACTTGGTTTCTTTGTTGGTTTTTAGCTTAATCTATAGTGGATGAAAAGAATACTCTGAATATAGCATTTAAATGCATCACAGTGAACTTACTGGAAAAAAAAAAACCTATGACATTTAATTGTTTTTGTAGGTAGAAATTTTTTTCTGAATATTTAGCTGCTGGCTTTAATATTTAGTGTGGAGAGTATGCTTGGGAGGGGGATTTTTCTCAAAATGTAAGAAAAATATGCATCCAAGTAGGGTCATTAAGTTTGAATAAGCTGTATTAGTAGGAGTGCTAATTTGTAAGGAGGCTGTTGACTATGTTAAAAACAAAAGGAACTCAAAATTATTTTAATAGTATAAAACGTCAATATTTTCCACACCAGAAGGTTTGTGCTGTGCTGAGTGAAATCCTTTAAACAACCGTGTAACAGCCATTTTTAGTCATTCTAAAATAGCTTGAAATTGATCTTAAATAAGACCCTAAAATAATTGCATTTTAAATCAATTGCCTCACCTTCCCTATTTAAATAGCATTTCCTAAGAGCCCTGGAGAGGTCTTTGTAAAAGTGTTTTTAGTTTATGGACTATATAATAGTCTGTATGTTGTGTGCATATGTGAGATTTGTGTAAACCAGGCCCTAAAGTGCACTTTTTTGTTGCATTGACATACTTCACAAGTTCATGGGTATTCTTTTAAACATTTGTGGTCAAATCCTTAATATTCTGTTTCTAAATATGCTGTTTCTGATATTCTAATATTTCTGTTTCTAATATTCTGTTGGTTAATAATAGAAAATTCAAGAATTAAACTTAATTATTTAATCTTAATTGATTATTCAAAGATTTTTTTTAAAGGGTTGAAGACTCCTCTTGTTAGGAGTAAAATTACTTCCAAGTTAATCATGTTTCTAAATTTAGACTACAGTTTTCCTAAAACAGCCTGTAAATTGTAGTTATGCTTCTGGTTCACTATTTTGATGTCAACTTTTTGGCTTGTATTTCAGCCTCTGAGGTACAGGTGCTTCGCTTTCTTGTTCCCTTATCACCAGTGGTCAGTTTCAACAGAATGTCCACACTTTTTTGGTTACTTGTAAACAAAAATACAATTTTTTTTTTGGAAAAAACCTTTCAAACCTTCCCCGGTTTTTAATTAATTAATTTTCATTTTCCTTCCCCGGTAATTAAAAAAAAAAGGAACAAGAAGAAGGGCCTAAGGAAGCCGGGGCCCTTCCAACCCCCAACGGGGAAAAACAAAACCGCCGTTTCCCTTTCCCTCCCATCTCCAGCGCCACCTTTTTTTCCAGGGACTTCAGCACCATATTTGCAGCCCCCTTGCCCCTGTTCCTTCCCTCCACGATCCCTCCACCCCACAGAACAGGGCTCTGAGGGTTTCCTGAGCAGACCCTGCCTTCATAGTCTTCCCTGCTCCCATGTTTCGGGGAGTTCTGCCTCTTCATCCTTGCCTGTCAGGCTTCACTCATGCTGCTCTGCACCGCCCTGTTCCAGTACCACCTCTGCCCATCCTTGCACTTAAAGCCCTTTTGTGCCTGTCCTGTGGTGGTTCACGGTTTGTCTTGAGTTGTAGTTGCGTGCTTGCTTCCTGTCTCTCCTTTTAAACAGTGAGTACCTTGGGATCTAATCTAATCTAATTTTACTGTATCTCACTGGTCTGGTCGTGGTTCCTAATACAGCGGCCTTTTACGTGTTTGTGGAAGTGATCCCATTCTCCTTCCTTCCTAATCTGTCAGTGCTGACTTCTGCTCTTCACGTCGAATTCCTCTGCTGACTCTGCAGCTCTTTCTCATCCAATCTTTCCTCCTAGTCTACGTACACATTTGTTTATTGAAAAGTTTTTGAGCACTCACTCAAAGCTCTAAAGGACCTCTGATTCTCATCCATTTTTCAGCTTTGGCTGCACATCAGAGTTACCTGGGTGGCTATGAAAAGAAATGAGGGGAAAAAAAAAAAAAAGAAATGAGGGATTCTCAGACCTTCTCCCTGGAGGTAATGGATGGAGCTGTTTGGGATGAGTGGGGCTTTAGTGGTTTTGGCGAAGCCGTAGGAGTTATTCTGGGGTGCTGGAGGGTGACCCATTGCCCTGTGCTTCCAGGTGGCCCTGAGACGGCAACAGGCCCAGGAAGAGGAATTGGGGATCAGTCACCCCATCCCGCTGCCCAGCTCGGCTGAGCTGATCGTCAAGAGAGAGAACAGCGGCAGCAACCCATGCCTGATGACTGAGAGCAGCAGCTCCTCGCAGCCGACACCGGCCAGCACCCCGACCACGGCAGCTTCAGGTAAGCCTGTGGGCCAGCTGGAGGGAAGAAGGGTGTGGCCACAAAGACAGAGACTTGGGATGGTTCGGAGCCCCAAAGCACATGCAGAGCTTAGAGAGTTTCTGAAAAGATCCTCCCTCTGAAGGTCTGTTTTGGCTGCCTCACAAAGAAGGTGGGCCCGAATTCTAGAACCAGAAGTTAGACAGCTTCACTTTCCTGTTGTTTTTTTTGTCAAGGCTAAATCTGGACCGAGTCAAAAATCACAGAATGCCAGAGAAGTTAGTCCAGAATTCATCTCAGTCAGCCCTTCCATTCACGGGATCCTCCTGGTGGGAGCCAAAAATCCTTGTTTCCTAAAGCTGAAAGTCCTTTCTCTGGGAAGGATTGCAATCCACTTGGGGAGCATATCTAAAAAAAACCAGATTCTAGGTTCTGAGTTTCAGTGGACACTGGAATTGAGGCAAGGCATGTCTCATTGGCTTAAATTCTCTGTCATGCGCTAAGATTATATCAGGGGCTATAGATGTATGCTAATTCATTTCATTCTTAGAAGAAGGAGGTGTTAATTCTATTTTATACTTTGGAAAATTGAGGTATAAAAAGTTTTAGTGACTGGCTACATCTGTCAAACTAGAAAGTATCTGAACTGATCCATCTACCTCCAAATCTCACAGTGCTTACTGCACTGGATGTGTGAATGACCTCGAGAATCATGGTGCTCTAGAGCTGCACTGTCCAACATGGAAGCCCCTAGCCTCATTGGGCTACTTAAATTTAATTACAGTGAAGTAAAATTAAAACTTTTATCCAGAGAAGATATACAAGTGGTAGAGAGCTCAAGGAAAGTTGCTTGATAGAATTAGTCATTAGGGAAATGCAAATTGAAACTATAGTGAGATACCACCTCACACCAGTTAGGATGCTTACCATCAAAAAACCAGAAAATAACAATATTGGTGAAGATGTGGAAAAATTGGAACTTCTGTGCACAGTTGGTAGGACTGTAAAAACGGTACAGCTGCTATGGAAAACAGTATGGTGGTTTCTCAGAAGTTAAAAATAGAATTATCACATGATCCAGCAAGTCCACTTCTGAATGCATACTGAAAAGAATTGAAAACAGCATCTTAAAGAGGTATTTCTACATCCATGTTTATAGCAGTGTTATGCATAATAGCTAAGATGTGGAAGCATCTCAGGTGTCCACTCACAGATGAATGGAAGAGCAAAATGTGGTAAAAAAAAAAAAAAGAATTGAAAACAGCATCTTAAAGAGGTATTTCTACATCCATGTTTATAGCAGCGTTATGCATAATAGCTAAGATGTGGAAGCATCTCAGGTGTCCACTCAGATGAATAGAAGAGCAAAATGTGGTAAAAAAAAAAAAAAAAAAAAAAAAAAAAAAAAAACAACTATTTAGCCTGAAAAGGAAGGAAATTTTGACACATGCTACAGCACAAATGAACCTTGAGGATGTTATGCTAGGTGAAATAAACCAGTCACAAAAAGACAAATACTGTATGATTCCATTTATATACTTGAAGTAGTCAAAATAATAGAGACAGAAGGTGGATTGGTGGTTGTCATAGGCTGGGGGGAAAGGGGAATAAAAGGTTATTGTTTAATGAGTATAGGGTTTCAGTTTCAGGAGATGGGAAGAGCTGTGGAGATGGATGATAGTGATGGTCGCAATACATCATGAATGTAGTTAGTATCACTGAACTGTGCTCTTAAAGGTGGTTGAGATGTTTGTGTTTATGTTGCATGTATTTTACAACAGTGAAAATAAAATTAAAAATTTTAAACAGTTAGTTCCTCAGTTGCGCTAGTCATATTTCAGATGTTCAACAGGCACATATGTAGCTAAAGCCGGCTATATGGATAGTGTGCGCTTCCATTTCTCACTAAGTTCCATTTAATGGCATTGGTCTCAAATACAGGGGCTCTAAGAAACTCCCCAAACTAGGCTCTGTGACATCCCATTGGCAAATATAAAGACATATATTTCATACTAAACATACACGCTGAGATTCACAGAATCTTGAGCCTTCTAAGGCTCCATGAAATGTAACCTTGGAGTAAGTTTTAAGTAAACTTTTCAAGAGTTAGTTTGCTGTGCTTAATCACTGGGCTAAAGTTGTCAGCAGCCTAGTTGTCATTAACTAGCTGTGCAGTTTTGGACAAGTCACTTACGCTCTCTGGTGGTCTTGTTTCCTCTTCCCAAAAATGAGGGATGAGCTCTTTGAGGCTTTTTAAGATCCTCAGAGTCTTGATTATTATAAGGAAGAAGATTAGAGGGCACCAAAGAAGACAGGTGAGAGACAGTTACATTACCTGCTGCAGATAGGTGTGTCTGCGTACCTGTCCCTGGGTGTGTGCCAGGGGCTACAGAATCTCTAGCTAACAAAGGGAATGGTATTATTTTCTTGTTTTAGCTTGGTCGTGCATAAAATACATTTATAGCAGTTTCAGAACTTTACTTTTCATAAGAAGGAAGGGGTATATCTATCAGAAATATGATTCTCGCACTTTGGGATTTTAAGCTGTATCTAATTACCAGAAGATAATATCGGGTCAGGGCAGACCTGGTGGATTCAGCTGGAGGTCTGATACGGGGATGGAGGTGGGGGTGCCAGAGGAGTAGAGAGGGGAGTAGCTCATTTGATGTTCAGAAACATCTTATGAAGTAGGAATTATTATTCCTATTTACAGAGAAGGGAAACGGGTGGTAAGGAAACTGCCCCAGAATAAAGCTGAGTTGAGCTGGAATTCAGTCCAGGTCTGTCCCATCTCAGAGTCCACGGATTTGCCACCTGCCTGTGAAGGGATGCTGTGGGAATAGTTGCTGTGTTTTCTTGGAAAACGGACAGTTGTGATTAGAGTTTATGGTTTAATCTTCAGATGGGATTTAGAGTTTATGGGCAAATGGGAACATGTCAGAGGCAGCACCATTCTTGGCTGGCACAGAAAGCTGCAGCCAGTGGTGTTCACGGGGAGAGACACAGGGACAGGCCCGTGATGGATCAGCATCAGTCCTGGGCATTTCGCTGGGAACCAGGGGTGAACTTGGCTTTCCCTGCTGTATCCCACATTGCACTTCATGGAAAGGGGCATCGGAGTTTGATTTTACACCCCAGCATGGTGAAGCCTTGAAGGATTTCAGGCTAGATGGAGTTCACAATGACCAAGAAGTTCTCGCAGGGCATTTCAGAGTGGTGATAGGGAAAGTTACAAATACAAGCAGCAGAGGAGCATGACAGAAGGTTCAGGGTCAAGGAGGATGTGACCAGATTCCCTTCTTCGCTCCTGGAGCTGATGGACCTTGGAGTCATTTCAGAGTCTTGAACCAACGCTCCAAGGGAGGGTGTGTGGAAGCCAGTGGTGTGTGGTGCCCCGGGCTCAACTGAGGGCAGGAGGCTTTGTCCGTCTCGGAAGATGGGCCCTCCCAAACCAGCCCAGCTCGTCCTGGCAGGGCAGGAGCCTCGCCATCATCATCACTCACAGGACTTCCACCAAAGCCCTTGAGCTGGGATTGTGAACTTCTGAACTGGAACATGAGCAAGAGAAAAACAGAAATGCCAGTAGAATTAAACTATATATATAGAGAGAGACAAGGCAGTGAAGGGAGGGAGGGAAGGGGGAAGAGAGGGGGAGAGAGAGTGAAGCAGATGAGACAGGTTGAAGGATGTTCCTTAAGTTTTATGTAGCACGTGGGGTGTCCCACTTCCTACCCAGTGTGCTACTGACAAACTTGTAATTAATATTACATCTCTAGAGGTAAGAATTTCTTTAAAATAGCATTTAACTTTATTCAGGAGTTGGTAAACATTTATTGAGTACAAAAACACACTCAATGACTATGTTCCAATCCCCAACTTGTGGGTCTTCTGTTTGTTACCCCAGAATTACATGTGTAATTTGTGTAAGCTTACATGCGTTAGCTTTATTTGTCTGTTTATTGTCTTTGTGTGTGTGTGTGTGTATATATAATGTATATATTTAATATAGCAGGAGTATATTACTCCCGCTGTGTGTAGTTTTTTTCTTTTTTTTAATTTAAAACCATGGCATTTTCTAATGGCCTGGTATTCCCTTATATCAATGTAGAAGGCTAGGGTTTGCAGTTATTTTGTGAAAGGTGAAAGTTGTAGTTGTCATGGAACAGTGCAGCCCTCCAACTGGCTCCCACGAGGGGGCAAGTTGCTCTTTCTCTTTCTAATACGTGATGTTGGGTGTCTGCAAGGGCAGTGGCTTAGTGAAATCCAGTAGATGTTTATGTCCTTGAGGCTTCTTAGTTATCTCCTTTTGGCTCCTGAAAGTGCCCAAGAATTATTGCCAAGATTATTGGCTGAATCCTGAGGCCACTGTGAAAGAAATTGAATTTGCTGAATTGTCGTTTCATCTATTGGAGAGCTGATCCCTCTGAGTAAGTTAACTTAGCACAGTCTCTGCGATCCTTAGCTGAAGATTGGCTAAGCTAGAGCAAAACACTGCCAGATGATTCCTCAAACAATGGATATAAAAGATTCTATGATTGTGGGTAACACGGTGAAGGAACAACGTTTTGAAGAAATGCACTGTTCCTTGCTATCTTTTATATTAACAGGATCAGATATGCTAATAGGTGTACTATCAATTAACAAATGATTTCTTCCCAGCCATTTTGGAGGTATCCAGAAAAAAAGGTGAGCAATTTTGGTTATAAATGACCATGAGTTAATAACAACTTCAGCATTATTTCTATGGTTTTACTTTTTAAATTTTAGTTATATATATACATACACACACACACACATTTATATATATAAAGTTATCAACTGACTTGAAAAAAATCTGAGCATAGTATATGTTAATATATATATTTTGAAAGTTATCAGCTAGCTTGAAAAAAAAATCTTAGAAGCATTCCCCATCTTCGACATGTGGGCTCCTTCCTGTTTTATTTCATGCTGTATTTTGCTTTTCCTTAGCCTCCTGTGCAGCAAGTAGAAAGCCATTTTACCTGGAACTCATGCTAAAG